GTAAGCTGCATTTGAGCCTTGATAATAAGGAATTCCTGTGGCACAAAGCACAGAAAAGTACATCAGAAAAATCGAAGCCACTTCCCACCTATAGGAACCATGATATTCCTTGTAGGCCAGATTTCCTAATACCTTAAGCATATAAATAATGTTCTTTCTTAAGGAAGTAGCAAAAACAGAAATATCGCTCAGATGAAGTTCGTGGTGAAGCTCATAATGGTCGTTAAGTAGATCATGATGATCCTGGTTAATGTAAAGTGTTGACAGAAGAATCACAATTTCGTAGAGTCGCTGGTGGAAGACCGAAAACTTTCATTTATCAAGCTGACCATAGAAAAATAAAAATAAATTTAGGCAAGTAAGCCATTGTAGTAGAGGATAGAATAAAATTAGAACGTACTCTGAAATAGATCAAATGAAAAAATATTACACTTAGCAGGCATAGCTCCTAGTTTGGTAAAGGTATAAGAAAAAACTTGTGGGAAATAGGATAAATATTTGCCAAGAAAGCAAACACTTGCAAGGGATTATAACAAACATGCTAAAATGTGGGTGTATAAATGTGGCATTCTTAAGAGAAACAACGCGCTTTAATAAGATAGAAATAGAGAATTGCTTGACTTTGAAATTGCCAATATTGTGCGCTAAAGTAACAAGTACTGGTCTGATTTGCATAGACAAAGCAGACAATCGTGAAAGGCAATCCAACCGGGGTTAGGAGGCCCTCTGTTTGTTATAGTCATAGCAAAACAACTAGATAAAACGAAGTAAGGCAAAGGTCTGAGCAAAGCCTATGCCTATCTAGAGTCGTCATGCCATAGTAGTACGCATAAAAATACGTAAAACTTAGGCCAGCAGGTTGGAAGTGAACAAGAGGACGAAAGTGAGTGAACTTGAGCAATCCAGAAGTTTCAGGTGGTCCTGTAGGTTTAGCAAAGTTTTTGGATAGAAAGTTTCCAAAGGAAAGATAAATAGGTAATATTATGTGTAAAGTTAGAAGACAACAGAATAAAACAAGAAGCTCGAAGCGTCAGATTGCACATAAAAGGTAAACTTTCCAAAGCTATACACTAGGCAGTCTTGAGTGGGCCAAACCACGCTACTGGTATTATCCAGCCAATAAACAACGGGAGTGCTGGCAATGAAGGCTGAAAAAGTGAAAACATTAGAAAATGGTTTTGCACTCGTTCTGAACGTGTGTCTGTTGCGAAAACCAGACCAAACAAGCTTCACATGCTCGAGACAAGTTGAGTATACCAAACGGCCCTATTTGCTACAGCTTCCGACCCACTTGGCTTACGTCGCCTGATGCGAGCTCCTCACAGACAGCCCAGGCGAGTACTCAAAGCAATGGTATCTTTTCATTATTGGTGCACTCTTCTCACGGCCTTCCACCCTCCGGCAAAGTTTTGAGCGCAAGTTTCCAATCGGACAACTCGCTGGTCATAGCGGGACGTCGCGTGGCGCAAGTGGTTCATCCGTCTGAAATCATGTGCACAGTCTGGTCCAGACGACGAGCTGGAATGCAATTATGCAAAAACATGCATGTGCTTTGATTGAACCCCAACTTGACACATGCCTTCGTGACACTCAAGAGCGGGTTTCATCTGCTCCGCAGTCGCCATGACGTCTGGCGGATGTGTAAAGGTCTGTGACGAGGCAAGGATGGCCCTTCGTTACACTCGGTGATGCTGATCTCTTCTCAGCCCTCGCAACGATTAGATATCAAGTCGAAGGCCTTGCCAAACGGCCTGTCCGTCCTGAAGGAGATGCCATCGGAAGATGTGCTCCATTTTGAGCGTGAAACAAGAA